AGTAAGGCACTTGTTACTAGAAGCGATGCACTTGTTCCTAATAGCTTGTTGTTACTACTAGTAAGGCACCTGTTACTACTAGCGTGGCACTTGTTACTGCTCGTTTGCCCAGTTAACCCCCGAGCAACCCGGTTCAAGCCGCTATTCTTGGAGCTAAAACAGTCACTGGAAGTACTTGGCTTGACGATGCCCGATTTGTTGGGCGGTCAATTGGGATTGCGGAGGAACACAAAATTTTGCAATGGCCGTTCGTGCACTCATTGCTCACTCAGGGCACTAAGGAAGCGGTTTCCAAGGCAGTACGTCTTTGGAAGCGCCAGGTTGTTGAACCTGCCGCCCGTGCCCTTGAAGCCTCTTGGTTCCAGATGCAGTCTGAGCAAGGCCCTGGCATCTGACGCGGTGTTAAGCGTGATGACCCACGCCTGTCGGTCCAAAGAGACATGGCACTATGCACTACGCTCGGGCATGGATGGTAGCCCGGTTGTTTGGGAAGATTCCATCGGCTGTGTTTGGCCGCCCTGATTTGGTGCACCGACCATATTGCCCGTTTTGCCTGGCACCTTTATCCCTGGAACATATCTTGAGTTGCCTGCACCTTAATGCCGAGTTGGGGCCTTGCAACGATATCACGAGCTGGCCGATGATTCTTGACAGCTCCTTACTCTTGCGGGTCACTCGGACTGGTGGCGCGGTCGCCCTTCTCTGCAGAGGAGTGTGAGAGAAAAACGCTCCTTGGGTTCTTGTGGCACCGTTTCCGCTGGCCACTTTGGCACAGGAAAGGTGTCTTGTCTTGCGGGCGCCGCCTGCCATCTGAGGGGCCTCCCTGACCTGCGGGGTCTCCTCAACTAACAAAGCCTCGTCATGGCCCTTTTCTCGGACTTTTTCCCCAGGTGAGGGTTGTTAGATTTTATGTCAGCCCCATCTCCTTCTTCTCCTCCTCGTCCTCCTCCGCCGGACCTCAACCACGACCATCCACGCCACACCTCAACCACGACCATCCACGGTGAGGGTTCTGTGCCGGACCTCAACCACGACCTTCCATGCCCAGTGTTCCCTGCCGGACCTTAACCACGACCATCCGCGCCCAGT